CCGGGGCCCCCTGCTGGGAGTGAGCTGCTGGAGCAGGGGTGGGATGGCATGATCCCCAGAGGTTCTTTCTAACCCCTGAAAGCAGAGGAGTGTTTGGACTAAAGGAAGCTTCAGCCCATCCCAAGCAAATTCCCTTTAACTCACGTACCCCTTGAAGATCTGCTGCTGTCCTCTGTCCAGGCCTTGCTGGGCTGTGTCCTTCAGGATGGTCTTTAGTCCCTTATCCAGCGAGACCTGGGCGATGCCAGCTCCCATGAGCCCTGCTCCCAGCACTGCCAGGGTTCTGCACAGAGAGGGATGGGACATTCAAAGCTCAGAGGAGCTGAATTTCCACTGCTGCCATCAGACTCACCCAGATCCTGCCCACCCGGGCTGTGGCCTCACTGAGGGCTGTGGGTGAGGCCCCTGAGCTGCAGAGGATGAGCCTTCTGCAGGCTGGAAGTCACTCTGCTACCCTGCTCGTCAGGACTCTGGGCCACTCAGTGCCAAGAGCCCTTGAGCAGAGGTCCTCCAAGTGCTCCCCAGGCACCCCATGCTTGCACTTACTTGACCTCCTTCTGAGGTGTCCCAAACTTGTTCTTCTTGCAGAGCACCTGCCCGTGGTAAAGCCCAATCAGCGCCCTGGACTCCTTGGTCATGGCAAGCTGGCCAAAGCCCTGCAAGAGAGTGAGGTGGGAAGCAAGAGTTTGGGGTTTAAGAGCTGCCTCACTTCTAGCACCCCCACGTCAGAAACGTGGCAAGGGGGGAGCACAGCCAGCCCTGTAACCACAGACTGGTCACCTGGTGGGAAAAGGAACCTCCCTTCCCATCAGCAGCAGGACTTCAAGCATCTGAAGGAGGGTGCACCTCCAACACCCATGTGTGGAGGGCCAGGGGTCTGCCAGGGAGCATGTCCAGCTCCTCCCTACCCACTGAATGATCCACAGCCCATTGCCACCCCCAGCACAGCTCTGGCTGGAGTGTCTCCTGGCAGTTCTCTGCTGTGGTGGCAGAGACAGAAGCCAGGTGGCTGCCCTGGCCAGCAAGCAGCTGTGGGGTCACAGAACCACAGACTGGTTTGGGTGGGAAGGGACCTTTCAAAGTTATCCAGTCCAACCCCCTGCAGGGACAGGGACATCTG